TTTGTTGGCGCTTTCTGACCACGTGGTGACTGATGATGGTGGACGTCACGACGGATGGCGGATATAGAGACGGCGGCCAAGTTCTCTACAGCCGCCGCTGCAGCTCTGGCCCAGAGGCGCATTAAGAATAAGGAAGATGAGGCGCCGGCCGCGAAACCCACCGCATCGCCCGAGCGCGCGACAGCGGCGGCCTCCAGCCCAGATCAGCCACCAACAGCGGCGCATGGACATGGCGCCGGTGACGTCGCCGCCGCCGCCGCCGCCGTTGCTGGCTTGGCAGGATTTCACGGCGGCGACGCCACTGGCGCGGCGCGGCGGCTATCCTCTGGGATGCCGCGAGCGACCGCTGTCGGCGGCGGCGACGGCGCCGCCCCGGCGGAGCTTGGGCGCAGAATGTCGACGGAGGCGGGGATGGACGGCTTGCCAGTGGCGCCGCCGGGTACGGCAGCGGCTGCGGCGGCAGCGGCGGCGGGCTCCTCCCCGGCGAAGCGTACGGTGTTGAGGGCGGCGCTGCCCGCTGCGGCTACGACAGGAGATGAGACGCCGCCGCGAGCTGACCAGGTGTGGTGGTGGGTCTTGGGGAGGGGCTGTTCGTGTGGAGGTCCCACTCGTGAGGTCGGGGGTGCGTGTAATAGCTGTTAGGGCAGGGTAACGAGAATGTGTGTGTGTGTGTGTGTGTGTGTGAGAGAGAGAGAGAGAGAGAAGGGGGGGGGAAATGTGTGTGAATGTATGTGCTTGAAAAAGCTGAGCCGCGAGAAGGTATGTGGGTACTTGAGTATGGGGTGGGTTTCCGCTGTCTTCGCGCCGCCGCTGTGTTTACGTTCTCAAACCGCCGTTCGCAAAAGAGGAGCAGAGCGTGCACTTCCAACGCGCACTCGTAGGTGGGCTTCCTTTTTTAAAGGTGGTTGTCAGGTTGGTTGGGTCTGTCGTACCTTGGTTTCGGATTCGTCGATGGCTAATTATTCTCGTTCTGCCTTTTCCATCCTATTGCTGACTCGCGTTGTAGGACGGTGACGCGCCGTACGACCCCGACAAGTACGACGAGCCGTACGATCCCGAGGCTCAGCAGCCCGACGATGACGACGCCAACTTACCCAAGTACGATCCCTTTGACGGCTCCGAGCCGCCGCCGCCGCCGGCATCTCAGCCGGCTGTGGTCAACGCCTCCGCCGCCGCCGGCACTGCATACGCGGGGGCTACTGCCAAGTCGGTTTCCATCGCTTCACTGCGAGCCGCGCCGGCAGCTACCGCCGCCGCCGCCGCCGCCGCCGGCGGTGCAGACCGTCCAGGGTCCCAGCCGTCACCGCTGCGCTCCCCGCCAGCTCCCGCGACGGCGGCGGCGACGGCGGCGGCGGTGACGGATCTTGCCCCGGTAATTCAGCGGCAACAGCCCGGGGAGGGGCCCCTTCCCGATCTGCCTCTGGACAGCGTGGGCGAAACGGTGAGAGCGGATGTGTGTGTGGGGGGGGGGGGGAAGGGGAGGGGGGGGAGCTCCTGGAACGGATGTTGCGTGTGTGTTTTAATGACCCCGACCTGCCCTGATCAACCTGCCCTGATCAACCTGCCCTGATCAACCTGCCCTGATCAACCTGGCACAACCCGACACAACCCGACACAACCCGACCCGACCCGACCTGCCTTTATGTCCATGCACCAGTTATGGAGCGGTGTAATGCGGTGTCCGGGAGCGACCTCGGACAACCTGGTGCCGGTTGAGGTGTCGTACCTTGGCGGCAGCGGTCGTCTGGGCCCTATGTTGCGGTGCTCCGAGCCTCCTACGGAGCTGCTGGTGAAGGGGCAGGTGTGTGACCGGGGGGGTGTGAGAGGGGTGGGGGTGGGGGGGATGTGGAGATGTGTACGACGAAACACACACGATTGACGAGAAGAAGAAACCATGTACTGCTATTTCACCCCCCCAAAAGACCAATAATACCGCAGGAGATGATGTAAGATACTGACCCGTAGTGCCTGTCGGGGGGGGGGGATACGTCGCATATGCGGGTGGTGGAGGGGGTTTGATGGGGAGGATGGAGGGGGTGCGGCCACTGTTATAAAGAGGGGAGGCCACGTGTGGTGGTGGTGGGCGGTAGCTCATCCTCATGGGAATGGGAGTTGGGGGGGTAGATAGGTTGGGAGGGGCATATCAGAGGGGTTGCGGGTTGCTGAGGAAGAGAGAACACCGTCACGGAGTGCCTCTCCGTTTGGGCGGTGGTTGGGTGTGCCGGATGAGGGAAGGGGAGAGGGGGGCTGCTTCTACACATACACACATGTAAAGACTTTCCATGCATCTTTTATGGAAAGAATGGAGGGAGTGCATCTTGCTGTGGCATCAGGCATAGCTTCTAAAATGATATAAACTTTCCGACAGCTCCTGACAGCCATGGGTGAGTACGTATGTATGTCCATCTGCAGTACCACCCAAGAGTATGAACACCCATGTAACCTCCCCTAGCCAACTAACCAATTAACCAACCGATCAACTAACTAACTGACCCATAGGTAAAAATGGCCCGAGTGGAGCAGTTCTTTGAGGATCTTCGCCGCAGCCGCAGCCGTACCATCACACTGGCGCTTGTACGACCACTCAGTTTCGAAGAGGCCGTGGCGGCTGGCATGACGGAAGCGGCCAATGCGATGGCGGCTGGCCGAGTGGGCGGCATGGCGGAGTTTGTGACACAGCACCGCAGCCGTGCAGGTTTGGCGACGCCGCAGGCGGCTCTGGAGGCTTACCTTGTGACCCGTGGGTCGCTAGCGGCGCGGCTGCTCAAGACGGCGCGTGTGGTGTGCCCCGCCACCCAGGTAAGGACCGTTGACCGTTAGGCACGGACCGAATTTTGGTTGTGATATTAGGCGAATGGAATGGCCTTGGAAATATATTCGTCGTCATCATCATCGTCATCGTCATCATCACCCTGCTTGTAAGAAGGGTTCAGCTCCCTTGGCATCTCCCTGAGTACTCTTTGCCTGCTGGTGCTGGTGTCACACTGCCTTTATGCTTTCCAATCCTTGTCCTTGCTTTTCAAAGCAACAAGGATAGCTTCATTTGGAACGTATATATCGAACGTCGAAAGAGTTCTTTTTTCCGTTTTTTGTTTGTTTATTTTGCCCTTTCTGCCATTACCGTTTTCGTACTTTTGCTGTTTGCGCTGCAGTTGGCGCTTCTTCCCGAAGACATTGGTGATGAGCAGCTGCTGCTGGCCCTGGTGCACCCGAGGTCCTGGGAGGCCCCGCCGCACGCCCTCGTCGCGCCGCCACCACCACCACCACCACCATCCGTTCACCACCACCACCACCATCATCAACATCAGGAACACCATCCCCACCAACACCACGGCCAGTCGTTCGCTCTAGGGCAGCAGGGGCTGGAGCAGCCGGCGGCGGCGCCGCCGCCGCTGGAGATTGACTTCAACGGCCTGGCGGCCGCGGCGGCGGCGGCGGGCCTGCTGACGCCGCCGCCGGGAGCCCCGACGGCGGTACCCGCCGGAGTACCGCCAGCGGCGGCGGCACCACGGCCGGCGGCGGATGGTGGAGGCGGCCTACCTATTGACCTTGGTGCGTTGAGTGACCTAGCGGCAGCGCTGGGTATTCCCGGGACAGGGACAGCGGCACCGCACTCTGAGGCCGCCGCGCCGCCGCCCCAGGCGGCGGCGGCGGCGCCGCCGCCGCCGGCAGCGGTTATCGTTGATGCGCCTGGCGGCGCCGCCGCGCCAGCCACTCAGCTTGTAACCGTGGTGATGCAAAACCCTGACGGCACATTGGCGATTGTGGCGATGCCGCCGGGGACGGCGCCGCCGGGCGGCCCACCGGCGGCAGGTCCGCCGCCGGCGGTGCTGTTGCAGCCGCCGCCGCCGCCGCAGGCAGCCCTTGGTCCGCCACCTGGTCCCGGCGGAGCCCCAAGTTATCCCCTCCAGGGCCCCCAGGGAACGCATCCAGATCACCCAGGGATGCTGCCGCCGCCGTACCTGCCGCCGCCGGGAGCGCCGCCGCCGGCAGGGCCTTATGGAGAGCCGCCGCCGCCACCACACGAGCACTACCCTGGCGGCCACGGCCCCCCACCGCATGGTCGGTACGGCGAGCCACCGCCGCCGTACGTAGACTCGAGGCCAGGAGGACCGCCGCCGCCGCCGCACCATGGCTTCCCGCCGCCACAGCATCAACAACAGCATCCACAGGAGCCGCCGTACTATGGAGGACCGCCGCCGCCGCACCACCACCACCATCAACACCACTATCAACCGCCGCCGCCAGGGCATGGTGGCGGCAGTGACCCGGGGGCTCCACCGCCGCCGTACGGGCCGTCACGTGACGGTCCTGAAGGACGGCCGCTGCCGTACTACCCGCCGCCTCGAGATGGTCCCGACGGCCGCGGACCAGGAGGGTACGACGACCCGTACTATCACCGCGGCGGCCCGCCAGGCCCCCATGATGGGCCTTATCCGCCGTACCGCGGAGGTCCTCCAGGGAGAGGCGGCGGCCGCGGTGGCGGCGGCGGCGGCGGCCCGCCCCGAGGTGAATGGGGTGGCGGCGGCGGCGAACAAGGCCGGTGGGGTGGCCGCCGTGGCGGCGGTGGCCGTGGTCGCGGAGCCCACGAGGACGGCCGCGGCGGCGGCGGCGGTGGCGGTTACGGGTACGAGGGGTATAGCGGCGATCGGGGTCGGCCCCATGACGGCGGCGGCTACAGAGGTGGCGGCCGTGGCGGCGGCGGCGGCGGTAGAGATCGAGTTGATTGGGCCGGCGGCGGCGGCGGCGGCGGCGACCGGAGGGATTGGGAGGGCGGGAGACCTGAACGGGGTGGTGGGGAGTGGGCCCGAGATCGCGAGCGTGTGGGTACCACCAGCCGTCCGGACGCACACCATCCCCGCTAAGGATGGCGCCGTACGACATGTACGTACAGCGCTGACGTACACTCGCCCAGGTTTCTTTCCTGGCTTCCGGTGGCAGTAGCAAGCAGTTGCAGTTAAAGGGGGTGAACACCCGTCGGGGGGGGAAGTCTGCTGAGCATTTTGGATTTCCTGTGTGGAGCTTGACGTGTTGTTTCCCCCAACCAACCCAACTTTGAGGCTCTTTACAAAAGTTGGCATTTGTGCGCGATACCGTGCTTCGCACGCTTTTTTTGGTTTGTTGCGAACACGTGTCGGGTCATCATGTACGGCATGTACGGCACCTTCAATACAGCACTTCCTTGGACTTTTCGGTATGGCGAATTTGCATGAATCTCTTGCTTGATGTGCTGTGTTGGTCCGGTTGTGCTTTGCTTGCTTGATGCGTTGCTGTCGTGTGATTATTGTTGTTGCCGCCGCCGCGGCGGCATATTGCCCATTGTTTGCTCTCTTGCACTTTAACCCCCCCCCCCCCCCCCACCACCACCACCGCCCCGGGTTGCCTAGCGGATGCGGTTTGACGACTCCCCTTTGAGGGGTGTGACCTGATTTTTGGTGGGGTTTGCGGGTCATGTGTCTGTGTGCGTCGGTATGTCTGTATGTGTTGTGCGTGTGAACGTTACAAGTATCTATCTGACCGGGGGCCTGACGACACTGGCCACAGGGGAGGGGCTGTTGCTCAGCCCCAACGGAAAGGCCGCCTGACTAAGAGCTCTCTCTCCCGCCGACGGGGAAGAGGGGCGCGAGGGGCAGCCCCCCCCTCCCCTTCCTAAGCAGTAAAGAGCGCCGCAGAGGCCCACTGGGGGGTAACGCTTGATTTCGGGCGAGATTTCTCCCGCCCCCCCCCCCGCCCTCGAGGAATTTTAAACTAACTTTTAAAAGAGCTCCGGAAGCTCTTTGTGCGTTGCGAGGCAGGTGGGAAGGAGGAGGAGGGCGGAGGTAGGATTCGACGTATGGTGGTGCTGTCCATTTCTTGCTGTATGTATGTATGTATGTATATATGCGGGCTTGAGAATGGTCAGGAGCGAATTAGTGAATGAACGAAAAGAAAGAGGGCCGTTACATGATGGCGATAATGCCCTCTTCTCTCTTCCTTCCGCCTCGGCTACTTGCGCGTCAGTTGGCGGTTGGGCCGCATGATCTGTTTTCTTCACCGAATGCGCAATGGCCCACGCATGGTCACGGAGGCACACATGTACGAACGTAATGTACGGACATGTACGGAAAAACATGTACGGAAGGAAGGTAAGGAAAGCGTGCATATCCGTGTGCGGTATGATTGTTGGTGAGCTAATAATTCCAAGGAATGTTGGTGAATTGTGTTTTTCGGTGGATGTGGGCAGCTTCTACATAAAGGCAATTCCTCCTCCTTCTGTGGGTTGTGGGGATCGATGACCGTCCTCGCTTTTTATGGGAGGAGGGTGAATAACTGCCGCGGGTGTCGTGTATGTATGTATGTATGTATGTATGTGCGTAGTATGTTTGTGTATGTGTGTATATGTGGGGTTTTATGTGTGTGCGTGCGTCCATTGCGCATTTTTGGACGTGCTTTTCGCACGCACATGCACGCTGGCTGCACGACCCAAGTCATCCAATTTAAGATGTTGGAGAGATGTTGGTTGTTGGAGCCAGGCCCTATAAAACCCCAACCCAGCAGCCAGTGGGGAGAGGTCGCCCCCCTCCCGGTCGACTGCTGACTGGCTAGCTGGCGCTCCAGGGAGGATCGGTCGGGTGAACTAAACCACTGCAGTTGAAACAATTCTCTTTTCGGTGCGTGTGTGTGTATGCGTGTGTATGTCTGTATGTGCAAAATTGTGTCTTCTTGTGTCGGTTTTAACTTCGGGGGACGGGGAGGTCATTGGCCGCGCTCGTGCGCTGTTGGTGTGCCACTGAAAGGGGGGATAAGCTGAAGGCAGTGACACATTTCAACAACATGTGCCAGATTCCGCTTTGTGCACCGTCCGCATGTCCTTATACGATGCACGACATGATGGGATGCGTGTGGTGGTGGTGGTGGCGTTGTTACACTTGTCCGTGCGCGTGTGCTGCCTCTGTCCGCGTGCTCGCTCACTTCCTTGCCCCCATTTCTTGCACGCTGCGAGCTTGTCATGTGCTGTGTCTCGCAAGTGCTCATTCACTCACAAATTGGACACAGAACATAAGTTTTGCTGCGTTGTGAAGAAATTAAGACTGGGAAGAAGGAACGAATGCGAAGACGAGTCTCGTCAGTTAAGGAAACAAATTGCAATCACCTTCTCTGTTATGTGTGTGTGTGTTTTGACCGTTGTTCATTGGTGCGGTTCGGGTGGATCTGGTGGTGATAGGTGGTGGTGTACGACTAACTTTGAAATGGCCGTACGGGTATCCTTTCTGACGCTGACGTCGGAAGCTGCACCCGAAGTGGTGAAGCCAGGAGACGCCGTGACCGGCGGAAGAGGAAGGGATAGAAATAAAAGGAAGATGTGTGGCCGTGGTAACACAGTGTATGTATGTATGTGTGTAGCCCTCCCTGAAACCCCCCGGGTGTTTTACGAGGTCCATGTGCCTGTGTGTATTGCTGTAAAGATGGTGGTAACGGCAGGAGGAGGAAATGCAACGGAGTAATCAACCTAAAGAGGAAAATGTCTGACATTGGCATTCCCGACCAAAGCTTCTTGCCTTCCTTTTCTGCAGTGGCCGCATACTCCACACCTTCCCCCCTCTGACCTGGCCTGACCTCACCTCGCTTGCAAGTCGGGGAACAGCCCGACCGCAAACGAGCGCAAAAAGAACACAATCCCATTAAATATTGCAACAAAAATCAGCTGCGGAGGCGAAAAACCTCTCTGGTATTCCGCCAGCTTTCCAATTCAGCATAAAACACGCGTACATACCGACTCCTCTCACCAAAACATTCCACCTGGAAGTTCTCACAGCAGCTTTTCGCTTGACCAGCCAGTCCATTACATACAGCTCAAGGTACGGCAGCTTTTATCCCGTTGCAGTTGACTGAAGGTTCCGCAGTACGGCAGAAAAAAATGTAATGCACCTTCACCATCACTTGTTTGTAGCTCAGTGCATCAAATCATTAGGATTTTAATAAGTTGCTCAGCAGCCCGGGGCCCTTCTTCTCCGGCTCGGCCGGGAGCGCCTCCTTCGCGGCTGCGAGGTGCTTCAACACGCTCTCCCGTACGGGCGGCGTCAGCTTCGTACGTTGTCCGTACGCCATGTAAAACTCGCCGAGCTCCGACAGTGCCTCTGCGACGAGGACAAGGAGCAAGAAGAGCGCCGCCGTAGAGACAACGTTTTTACGGCAGAATGGGTACATGATGAAAGTGGTGAATGAGGTGCGAACCGAAAGAGGCGGCCAGGAAAATGCTGGCTGTGGCCGGAGCGCTCTCTACCATACCCTCCCTTGACCTCACAAACCCTAGATCACTACCTACTGCAAAAACCGATACCGACGGTGTTGGTTGGGGGTTTGGTGTGTTCTGGCGCTACCTAAGGCTGTCGAAGCGCTTGGCTTTACAGGGGTTGTGTAGCGCTGAACTTCTCGAGCACATGGCCGCATGCACGCCTGGGAGGAAGGGGTCTCGCGTGTATACGAATTTACGGAAATTTAGGGGTGCCGATTGCTGAGTTGCGGATTGCGAGGAGCTGTCAATGCCCCGTTGTACCTATATCCAGCGCGTGTTATCTATCCGGTCCATGGTGTCATGCTATGTTCGTTTCATGTATGTGTAGGAAGGTCGCGCAAGGTGTAGAGGCTCGTGACCTAAGCAAATTTTCTGGGACAGGACATGTACTATGCGGTGGGTGTGGCCATTGGTCTCACGCACGTTTTTTCACTCCTTACATGTTAATCTGGCTCGTGTTGTTAAGGGGATATCGTCGGTGCCGTGTATTTGGAACTCATCTGGGTACGGTACAGTTGCACGGAAGCGAGGCATGGCGTGGAGGTGCGCTGCGAGAGCGTTATAACGGTCGTTATGCAGCAGAATTTGTCTCATGCTGTGGTGTCTGATGTGCTTGTAGATTGATGTGCTTTGGTTATGCCAATACGGTTACCGACACAGCAGCTTGGCTGTGGAATACTTGCAAGACAAGATAATGCCCAGATAATGCATGTTTATAAGCGCTCTGTATACCCTGGGCTGTCGAGTTAATTGCTGTGTCGCTTACTCCGCAATGCCCTTCGTTGTTTAGAATCGGCCGATCCTAGAGGAGATGGTTATAAAATTAATAATTTATTTATTATTTGCTCATAAAACGAGCATCCGTGAACGCGATGACGTCGGGGCAAGCAATACCGTGTCGTGGGTGGCACAAACCCCGTGCACCCTAGGGCGGCAAGGGTGCACAACTAGGCTATGGCACGGAGGCCGTGCATCCGAACGGCGGCTTACAGCACATGGAGGAACGTGACTGCCAGGGGTGACCGCGTACAGCACACACAGCAGTACAAACCCCACCTTATTCCCACTCCAGTTCTTCTGGTTTAATGGGGCGTTTCAATGGAATTTTATAGATTTCTTGTGCACGTATCTTGGCAGCGCCTTCCGCATGTCGTATGCGTCTTCGTCCCCAGTGCCCAGTAGCCCCCACTACCGTATCCGATGGATTATGTAAATAGCGGGTCAGTTGTGTGGCTGGCAACCTCACCGCGCCACAAACCATCTCCTTTCCCCCCCAAACTTGCTTTACACATCCCAACATCGTGTTCCCTGTCCCATGGCAGAGCCACATTCCAGCATCTCATCGAGAGTCGCTTCAACGGTTCCGTTGCTCCCCCCTAACCCTAACCCTAGCCCTTCACAGAACTATCGAAACCCCAAACCCCGAACCCCCGCTGGGAGTTTCTTATCCCGAAGGGCCCTGATCAGTTTGAAAATAGATTGTTTTGAAAATAGATAGTTGTGCCGGTACGACTTGGAAGACAAAACAACATCTTAAAAGGAGATAACAATACAGCCATCATAATTCGCGCAGAAGCAACAGTTACCAACAGATTATGATGTGTAATTTTAAACGGAATAAAGATGATTTTGATGGGATATTTCGTATGTTGTCCCCAAATATTAGCAGGAGTTGCACATCCATTCCAACACCGCGCACCTTTGACTTCCGCGTGCGTTATGTCGCCACTAACTCGCGGGTTGTCGCGCCACTTGCGAACAAACTCACGAACCGTATCCTTAGCTGGGTCGGCCTTCCGACGCACCTGCATTGGGAGTTATTGACGGTTGGATGCGTAGGCGTCCGAATCGGAGCAACCACGTAGACAACGCGAAAAGTGCAAAAGCAGTACCCGGGCGGGCGGGCGGATGTAGGCGGGTGGTTTTTAAGAGGGTCGTGATCATCGTCATATCACACACACTCACTCACACTCACACTCATACACACACAACACACACACAACACACACCAGCAGAAGATGTCCGTTCGTCCGACCCCGCGGCGCCTCTCCCCCTCCCCCCAGGCGCTGCCCTGCCCCATTCCCCCCTGGGCCCCTCTGCTCTCTCTCCCGCTGGTTCGTTAGTTCGTTAGTTCGTTACCTCGGCCTCCGACGCCCCACTGGCCTCCGCCTCAATGGAGTCACTCAGTCCCTCACTCAGCCGCTTCACCAGCTGGCGGTACTCTGAACACGGAGGGGGGGGAGAGGATGGATGGGTGGATGGATGGATGGATGGGAGTTGGTTGGTGCGGTTTGGCTGGGGTGCGGTTTGGCTCCCCGGACTCCTGTGGGGAAAGCGGGCGGGGCAGACTGAAGGAATGTGTTGTGTTGTGTTGTGCGAGGAGAGGGAGGTGAGATTACGGCTGCGGTGCTGGTTTGGCTGGTTAGATGTGGTTGGTTGGTTGGTTGGTTGGTTGGGTCGGCGATGGAGCGGTTGATGAGTCTTGTGGAGCTCCTGAAGAGAGGCAGCCGGAGGGTGGCCACAGCGCTGCTGCGACGGCGAGGTGACCCTCCATCAACAACCCATCCCGTGCAAATGGCAGGAGGGTGAAGCAATGATGGATACTAAGCAGGGAGCTTGTGGAATACCTCATGCCCAAAAGGGAGAGGCGTGCTCCTGGAAAGCTTCGCAACCCACCCTTGGGCAGCTTGGCTTCTTCATCTGCGAGAGCCGCATGCGGAGTAAGAGATAGAGCGCCTACCACCAGAGCAAGTACCGCGTCGCGTCTAGTGAAATTGCCCGCGTGCGGTGCTCCTCGGGTCGGCAGGTCAGCTAGCGAGTATTGCCTCTGTTCTGAGTTGCTGTTTATAGATGCGGTATCTTCAGGGTTGTGTGTGCGATTCGCATAGCACATCGGTTGAGTTCCTTTTGCGCATGGCGCAAAGGGTACAATTCGCCTACTTGCGCCCGGCGAGGACAGCAAAAGAGCACTGTTTGATGTTAGCATTTTTCGTTCATGCTCCTCAGATTGCCCTGAGCATGCGCATCAAGCTGCGCCTACACCTCTGTCATTAGGCCGTACAGGCACACAGATCAACTACAATTTCCCGGTCGCACAGGATTGGCATAATGCTGTTACCATATTACGATGAGTCGTCCCTGGTATCGCACTGAATTTTCAAGTCAACAACACCAAATCTGCATTTTGCCAAGGTCTGTTATTGATGCTTAATAAGCACCAATAACATAATATGGTGTTATTGGTGCACTGCTGCTTTCGCAAAGCAGTACAAAGCTTCCCTTAAATACTAGGCTAACTCTCTTATTAGGTCCTTTGTGTCTTGTTTCCGTTTCGGGATTTTCCCACTTACAAGCGAAGGGCCTTCCTCTACTTCCTCCGGGAAGGCGTCACAGACTCTTAAAAGGATGTTTACATGGCTCAGCTATTACCATTCCACAAGATCGAGCGGACGGGCTATGAGCCACCACGCTGAAGAATTATATAGCAAGATGCAGTTACCACGGTGTCCATGAAACCGACCTTGGTACACGGCATAGAACGGAACGGAGAATTGGCAACGCAAATGTCGCCCTCACCCCGAGCACGACGCGTTCTCATCACTACGCATTTTACGGGGTTTCCGCACATCACTCTTTGAGCATGCACATTACAACTTGGCCTTCATTGGGCATGGCTGAGTCACGACTGCCGTAAGACGATAGACTGACACCGCAGCTTTAACTACCTCTTTACCAGCATAACTAATCAACGGATTGCAAGTTCGGATCTTCAAAGCCATTATTGAATAGTTAGAAGTCCACACATTTGCCTTTTAGCTCCCAGTCACCTACGAATATGAGACGTGATAAGTCATCAGGACAAGCCATGAGGCATATAGCCAAGGAACTCCAGCTTACCATAGCGCGTCGGCTCCTTCCCACGCGGCCCGTAAATTTCACCTGTCTGCGGATTTGCAACCTGTCCCATGTGAAAACGCGCGGTTACCTACAAGTCAGGTTTTTCATAGATATCTTGCGCGGACAGCAGCACACCTCCTCGGTTTCCTCGTCTCCTACTTCCTCATCTCCCTGCAATTTCGATTCCCTCGCTTTCTGTATCATCTCAAAGAGCTCTGCTTCCGTTTTTTTTTGAAGCACGGCGGTGAAGCTTTCCAAGGGGTTCGGAGCGACCGTTGATTGCGACGAAGAAGTTCCGGAAGACTCAGGTTGCGACGACCAGTAACGGGGCCGGGGAAATGCTGTTTGCTCTAATGGCTGCGTTAGGGACCAAAGCCCCAGCGGAGCCTTACTGGAAACGGCAGCTATGCTGCCTTGAGCACATCGGCACGCCAGGGCTCGTAATTGCGCACAAGCGTTCATTTTGTCGTTTCCTAGAAACGCGCAGGATTAATTGCGAATGTTGTCTAAGGCCGCTTTTGCAAGAGCAAGCATGTCTTGCTTGGAGAGTATCTTGCGCCAAACCTTAATACAACAGCGTTAATACACAATGCATGTATGCATGTACAGAAGTCGTTTCCCCAAAGCTAAAAGGCCCATAGCATCACTGCCTTTTGCACGACAAAACGTCAGTTACCAGACAAGGTACCACGTCATGCACCTAATCATGACGCGCGGCGCACACGAGAGCCTTTCCATCTTACGTCTCCATTTCCACACGAAAACCCCCCAAAGAGCGATCAAACGAGAGCACGTGAAATTAAGCCGGTCCCAACCCACAAGAACGCTTGCTCGAAGTCTCGGAATATTATCACCATGCCTCTATTACCCAAGCCTCTTTCACCCCCAACCCTGCAAAACACGTGCCACGGGGCCCCTCTTTCCCCGATTCCTTAATAAGTATACAGCGCCTGCGTGAGGAACCTCACGGATTTGGGGGGCCCGAAGGTTTTTATGGCCCCATAGACGGGCATGTGCGTGTGTGTGGTTTTCTCTGCCGTTTGCACCAAAGTGCTCATGCCTTTCCGGTTGGACTGTTGGGAATTAGAGTTTAACCTGCGAAACGGCCGTGAGCGCACTGCGCGTACCTGCAGGCTTTGTGACTGCTGAGCGGTTAAAGACGAATTGAATATTTTCGCAGAACGCCCTGTTTACACGTGCACATGGGCTAAGTACGATGGCCACCTCATGTTTCAACGGCGCTGCATCCACACCATTACGACTGAGGCGTTGGCCAGGGCCTGCGCCTCAATCGTAGCAGGCCCTGGCCAATGCCAGGCACACCTCTCGGATATTCTGGTTATTGCTCTAGGGGTGCTGTCAGCTACGTTCGACATTATTTTTGACGCTTTTTAACGGATAGATATCTTTTAGGAAAGGAAATGCAAGCTATAGGTACTGCGAACACTAAGGAGGCCAGGCACGTCGCGCTAAGAAGGCGCTTCGTGCTGAAGCGGACGAGCGAGGATGATAAGGGTCCCCCACGTCACCGGCATCGACACCATCCAATTTTTACGTACAACCCCCGCACGTGTGTGTGTCTCGGAACTCGTAACTTGTAGTAACTCTGCCACACGACTTCTCGGTACATGTCCAGGATACTCCCAGTGCGCCTGCCTCCCTCCCTTCAAACGACTCCTGGTCCTTTTCCATACCCTTCCCCTTCGTACTCCTCTCCATCCTTCCGAGCACAATCCCCCGGGGTAGTAGGTGTAGTGTGTCAAGGACGACACCTCACTTGCCAACTTCTGACCTCATCCATTATATTATCTGTAACTCTTCAAACAGCCTCCTTACCCTTTCCCCTATGAGGCGTTTATGCTCGACATATCCAAATCCTATCGTTCAGGGACCTTCACACCGCCGGAGGCCCTGCTGCTGAGTGATGTCCCCTCTGCCGTGCCTATGTGGTGTACGGTACAACAGTACAATTTGTACCTCCTCTTTTTTATTCCCAGAGACCCAAGTTTGTCCCGCTTTTCGTGGGGTCATCCTGGTCATGTAGCTCTACCGCTGCAGCTTTTGTCACACGCACGGCCAACACGCCTCCTCGCCCCAAATCCCACTTCCCCCCTTAAAAATGCAGCCACATGTCAAGTGTGCCACAGAATGCCGACACGCGGGTAATACACACATACACACACACGCCTCGGTATAAGGATGTGCCAAAGCCCTGGGAGAATTGTGGGACGGGGTTTGGCGCGAAAATGCTTTTTTTCCGTACAGGTCGCACACTGCCACAACATGGCCACAAGAGGCAGACCCCCCGGCGGCAACCTGACGGATGCTGACAAGGCACGGACAAAACGCTGACAAGCAAAGAAACCTGCGTTCATGAAGCTCACTGCTGAAGAGTAATCCTGCCCATATGCTCAAGCGCTGCTGCGCCTCTTGCAAGCCCAACAACACCGCACACAAATCACCACACACCACCCACAGCCGCCCGTTCCCTTTCCACCCCCCAACCCACGTGGCCCCCCTCAGCCCGCCCCAGCAGGGTTCACTCTCCCCCCTCACCCAAACCCACCCACATCCCACCCACATCCCCGGTCCTCGCTCCTACTGCTGCCCCTACCGCGCCCCTCACCGCCGACCCAGATCACTCCGCCTTCCGCATTCTGCTGCACAGCTCCGAAACCAACAGTCAATGAAAGGTTGGCGCTTCGTGCATGGGATCGAGCCGTAGATTGATGCTTCGCCCAACCCCAACCCCAACCTCACTGCACTCCCCCTGCAGTCCCGATTCTCAACCCCCATGAGCCTCACGCCACGCCCTGAAAAAACCCACACGCCACGCTCCCCCCAGTTCCATGCGACAGGGAGGGGTTGAGCTGGTTTTGAGTGCATGGGGCCGGGGGGGGGAAATGTTGGGGGATGTTGTTGCGAGGGCGGGTGGTTAGATCACCGCGCCAGGCCCCGGTTCACAGCCTGCGTGGCCTCCATTCGCCGTGTGGCGGCAGCCGCAGCTTTGGCGTTGCCGCCAGAGGCGCCCGCCGGCGGCGGCCGTCCCATGCCGTGACTGCCCGGGGGCCCCGCCGCTGTCCGCCGCAGCGCGGAGTGGTATGCGAGCGAGTCAGGGTCTCGTTCGGTAATGCGCGCCAGCTGCATCCGTTCAAAGGCCTCCCCCGCGTCCAGCTCGTCCTCCTCCTCCCCAGGGGCTCCCCCACCGCTGCCGTTGCGACCGGCCTGGGGAAGAACGGAGACGAGCAGTATGTAGGAGGAGAAGGGAGGGAAAGTGAAGATGGAAAGGAGGTTAGGTGGAGAGGTGGAGAGGAAAAAACAAGATCCCACATTCGCACCATGTTCTTTTTAAGATACGTTTAGATCACTCATCATTAGGTCACCGATGCACAAAACCCTAAAACCCTAACAACAACAACAACAACAACAACAACAACAACAACATACTCTTGTTGCTAATTTAGCGCTGAAGATGTAGAACACTTGATTTCGTGGAACAGGATTTGGATTACCGAAGTGATAGGTCGGTCTGAAAGCACTACAGAAACTGGATGCTGGTGAACACGTTCCCCCTTCATCATCCCGTCATCCGCTATGTGCTGTGCTGTGATGTGGGTGATGAGAGGGTGTTTGTTGGGAAGAGAAAAAGAAAAGATGTGAAGCGTAAAAAAGAGGCCAGAGGACGGAGAGGGAAGTCCGTGTGTGTGTGTATGTGTGTCTCTCTGTGTCTTTGTCCAAGCAAGCCGCCACCGTCGAGCTGCTCGTCCATTTACACGCCACTTCCGGCCCCCACCCCACAACGTAGTACTGTTCCTCACTCCCCCCCTTGGTACCCGCCGGCTCACCGCCGCCAGCCGCCGCAGCGTCGCGTCGCTCTGCGTCGCTGCCCAGCGGTCAAACGCCTCCAGCAGTGCCGCCCTGGCCACCGCCACCGCCTGGATGTACGGCTCCAGCTGCTCACGAGCCGCCTTCAGGGCGTCGAAGTCGGCGCGGTACTGAGCCTTGAGGGCCTTGAGCTCCTGCGCGATTGGATGGGGGGGAAATGGGGGGGAGGGGGAGGGGGAGGGGGAGGGGGAGGGGAAGAGGGAGGGAGA